GATTCGCAAATCCTTCCGATGAAAAAACTAATGCTTTGAAAATAAATATTTAACATTTTTCAACTAATGGGTCTCGTTACCACCGACAATAAAAAAAAGTGCTTCGTGATCCGTTTTGAAGCGTATATAAGACAGTTTGTAGACAAGACAAGTAGTAAGGAGGAGCGGCAAAATACTGTAAAAGATTCACGTTTTCCCTTACTTATTCACCTTTCTTCTCCAAACTACGTAACACTTACACTCTTCCTTACCAATCTACGTGAAACTTACACTTTCCTCCTTGTTTATTTCTTTGCCTCTTTTTTTTTCACACATACACACGAAGAAATCACACATCTTTTCATATTAACAAACAACTACAGAAACGAACTACACTCTAAGAAAAAAAAACAAGAAAAAAATTATATTTAAAAACTTTTCTCGCTTTTTTCTTTGTTCATTCAAATGCGTAACAGACGAATTTGTAAATTTTTCATTCTTATATTTTTTCACAAATAGCAATGCAGGTATAGCAAATACAAGTTTTGCCTAAGAAGATCACGACGGTAGGAAGGGTATAGCATAATTTTTGTACCAAGTACGTTAGAATTTTTGGGTGGTTTTTGTACTAGTGAGCTAGCCAAAATGAGCTGACTCATTTTATTGTCCACCAAGAGAAGGGTTAACCAATCAGAAAGCTCAAAATATTCAATCCGACGTGTATAAAGGCAGCCATTTTGTTTTTTTCTCCCAAAATATCTTCACTGCCAACCTCTGATATCGAAGAGTAAAGAATTAACAGCCGCTACTTTCTCCGAATCTTCACTGCCAATCCCTGATATTCAAGAGATTACGGACTTCACTAGATTCCATATTCAGAGACTACGGCAAACATGGTCAACAGTACAAGTGTCGTATGAATAAATCATAAATCGTTGGGAATTTTAAAACTTTTTATATTGTACGATATTCGAGAATCGTCTGTTGTATTTATGCCGATGGGAACTTTTCATCATAATATTTTGTTGTATCAAATAAACGTGCCGGCCACAACCGTCATAACTGGCAACTTTTTATTTTGCCCTTATTATTATTATTATTGCTGTTGATGTTGTTATTGTTGCTGTTGTTGGTGCTGCTGTTGTTATTATTAATGTCGTCGCCGTCAATTTTGGCATTATTATTATTATTATTATTATTATTATTATTATTATTTCCTTTGATTTCTGTTGTATACACATTTCTAACGAGAGACCTAAGCTCAGAAATGGCTTCTTCACATCTTGCACAGATCTTTTTGTAAAAAAAACCCAAAAAACAAAACAAAACAAAAACCCTAAGATCACACACATTTTACATAGATAAAACTCTTCGTAATACGTAAGCTGTACTTGTGAGCACATTTTTTTTTATTTTTGTATTTTTTTTTTAAAGATATGGGCTTCCAGGAATCCTTTCATTGATTCTATTGGAACCTTTTTCCAATCAATGCTCTAACTACGACTGGAATTGTTGATGTCTTCATGTGCCACATGTTTTAGATTTCCATTTAAAGATACTTGTAATTTGATAGCTTTTTTTTAAAGATCGTCAAAGATAGATTAAAATGTACGTGGATTACTATGTCAATAAAAAGCACATTCTGTTTTCGTGATCTTTGAACACGTTGTCTGGGAGATTAGCTTTGATTGCTTTGCCTGTATGAATTGTAAAGTTCTATTATTATTATTATTATTATTATTATTATTATTATTATTATTATTCAGATTCATATTCGAAAAATTACGAAAATATTACCAACGAGAATTGATTGATGTTATTTTTACGGTTTATATAACGTTTGGAGGTTATTTAAGACGAAGCATATTTTTGTATTATTATAATATATATATATATATATATATATATATATATATATATATATATATATATATGTGTGTGTGTGAAAATATATAGAAAATAGGAAGGAACTGGTTAGGTAAATAATCCAAACTTGTTTAACAAATAGCCCAATCATCAGATTCATAGTAGGAATAATTAACTACAAACATGCATACTACATAACACACTTCATAATCCATAGCCTAAATTAGTAGTTTAAATACCTTACATATAAGATAACCCTTTATGAAATCGTCAAAAAACAAACGTTACGAAAGTTTTTCTTTTTTTTATATGCACAATTCCCTTTCATAATAAAATAAAATAAAATAAAATAAATAAATAAATCTCCATAGACAAGCAAACTAGACGATGGCCAATACATCTTCCGTTTCATTTTTGACACCCCCACCTTTTCCTGACTTGACACCTTGAAAGTATCTATATACCGCTACTTAATATAAACACCCTACACTCGCCTACCCAATTTAGAAAATTCACCATAGCTGTTACCATGGGGATTTTGATTTCAATTTTAAAACAAGTAAATTTCAGATATACGTTATTCCAACAAAAATTTCGCTTGAGGATGGAACGGAGCCCATTTTACTTTCAACTCAATTTAATTTAAAGGATTATATTGAAGTTTTCGGCTCTAGTTCTGAAACATGAGACCTCTTATGTAGCGATTTGGAATCATATTTTTAAATAAATAATTATATATATATATATATATATATGTGTGTGTGTGTGTATGTGTGTGTGTTCGAATTGAGGTCTGGAGTGAAATTGGTACCGAATAAACACGGCGATAAGTAATCTTCATGATTTGAACGACTGTTGAGTTTCAACAATTGGGGTGCATTTTTTTGGATATCTCAGGTGATATTCGTTGGAATTTTAAACTGAACTCTTTATTTAGTCCACGGGAGTAGACTGTTCTAGTTCCACATGCTATGTCTTTTCTGGAAAACTCAGTTTTCGTTAATATCCTTTAGTAACCCAACACTCCAAATTTTTTGTTCACCTCTGCTGTAGACAGGTATTGAACTCAGAACTTTTTTGGTTAAGTCACTTTTCGATTACTTCAGCCAACGCATATACACATTGGGCCATGTATCCTTGGAGCTATAAAAATTTGCACAAGTGGACTAAATAAAGGGTTTGGTTTGAAAATCCAACATATATCACCTGAAGAAGGCCGGAGTGTACAACGGTCGAGATGTCGTGAATAAGACAATAAAGATGAGGACAACAGTCCGAACAATGTAAATAGGGTAAATAATTACAATAACTCATTTCAGAAATATAGACAGATCCTGAAGAAGGCCGAAGTGTACAGCGGCCGAAAGGTCGTGAATATGAGAATAAGGATGAGTAGAACAGGCCTAACAATGTAAATAGTGAAGAGAGTTACAATACCTCATCTCAGAAATATAGACAGATCCTGAAGAAGGCCGAAGCATACAGCGGCCGAAAGGTCGTGAATATGAGAATAAGGATGAGTAGAACAGGCCTAACAATGTAAATAGTGAAGAGAGTTACAATACCTCATCTCAGAAATATAGACAGATCCTGAAGAAGGCCGAAGCGTACAGCGGCCGAAAGGTCGTGAATACGAGAATAAGGATGAGAACAGGCCTAACAATGTAAATAGTGAAGAGACTTACAATACCTCATCTCAGAAATATAGACAGATCCTGAAGAAGGCCGAAGCGTACAGCGGCTGAAAGGTCGTGAATACGAGAATAAGGATGAGAACAGGCCTAACAATGTAAATAGTGAAGAGAGTTACAATACCTCATCTCAGAAATAGAGACACACACAGATCTGTACATACCCCCCCACCAAAAAAAACAAAAAAACAAGACAATGTTAAAGTTTTTTACCTCCTTCCATGAAACTCTGAAATTCTCGTCTGGGGTGGGGTATATTATCCTTTGGTTGAAACACCCTTTGCTAGACTATTGAGGAGATATTCTCTCACTCAATGGCCAGAGATAACCAGTAGACTTCTCGCACAAACATGGCAGATTTACAAAAACATAATATTAAATTAACTTGTTCATAAATAATCAAGGAGACCGCCATAAGATTCTACATCTGAAAGGAAAGAAGTTTCTTCCTTCTTTTAAAAGAAAGGTCAATTTAACAGGATGCAAAAGAATTATTTAAGTATAGACACGTAAACAATAGATGTAGCTATTTTTTATTGTTTGAAAGTGTTAATATATGTATTAGTCTCTTTGTTCTGTGTCCAATATTGGCATAAATGCGTTCGACGGGGTTTGCTGATGATGGAAAGCGAGGGAAACACGAACCGGACAGACTGAGTTCAAATTCAGAGCTTTCCTACTCTGAGATTGATTGACTGATTGATTCGTTTTCTACGGCTTACCAACCCTTTGCAGGTTATTTAAAGCCAGAAAATATTTTAGATTATAAGAATTTTTTGAAGTTAAAAATGGTTTAGCGATACAACTGTTACTAATTAACCCATAGCTGGGGAGGAGAAAAGATCGATTCATACCTAATCAGAAGTTTGGAAACAAACAAGAAATTATAATATGAATACAAAGTGGGGGATTCATTCTATATTACAATCAATTTATAAACTGATCCCCCATTTTGGGGCCATATTAGTTTCAATAAATTTATATTACAGAGAATGTAAATAAATCTAAAAGACATGATTGTGTACTTAATCAGTATTTCATTTATTGACTAATTCGTTTTCTACGGTTTATCAACCTTTTACAGGTTTATTTAAAGCCAGAAGATTTGTCTAGATTGTAATTTTTTTGAGATAATAATGGGTTAGTAATACAAGTTTTACCGATTAACCCATAGCTTGGGTAGAAGAAATTGAACTCGGCTCTCCGATTAACAATTCTGAGCTATTAATGATTACACCATCCGCATATCGAAGCTTACAGCACATGGCATTACCAAGTAGTCACCATCTTGGTACTAACCAGGCCTGACGTTGCTTAACTTCGCTGATCATAAAGGAAGCCCTACTCGCACATCGAAGTTTACATCACCTGGCATTCTCTAATGATTACCCACCTAGGTGCTGACCGGTCAAGACGTTGCTTAACTTCGCTGATCATTAAGGAAGCCCTACTCACATATCCAAGCTTACAACACATGGTATTCCCAAGTGATCACCCATTTAGGTACTGACCAGACTGGACGTTGCTTAACTTCGCTGATCGTAAGGGAAGCCCTGCTTGCATATCCAAGCTTACAGCATAGGATATTCCCAAGTGATCACTCATCGAGACACTGACCGGGCCCGACGTTGCTTAACTTCGCTGTTCGTAAGAGAAGCCCTACTCGCAGATCCAAGCTTACAGCACATAATATTCCCAACTGATCACCACGCTAAGTACTGACTAGGTTCGACGTTGCTTAACTCCGGTTGGTTTGTTTGTACAAGAATCCTTAATTATATACGAATAATTACCGTAATTACTATTTTACAATCATTTTAAATCATAATAATTTTAATAATAACATTAATTTTTAACACTTCTGAAATTAATAATTCCGACAAAATTAATTTTAATTATAAGATAATTAAATAAAATCTTAAATTATTTATTCTTAATATTACTAAAATTTATTCACAGCAACAATCTCTTAATGACTCATTGGCAAAAAGTTAACATCCTTTTTCGAAAATCCAATTTAACAGGTTTATCTGCTAAGAATTTTTAAAATGCTTATTGACATGTAAAAACAATGGTTTCCTTTGGTTTGGTTTGATTTGGTATGTTTTACAGCATATCAACTCAATGGGTTATTCAATGCTGACAAGATTTTTATTGCTGGATATATTTTTTCAAAAATGTATTGCTGGTAATATTTTATTTCTCAAAAATGTATTGATAGCAATATTTCATTTTTCAAAAATGTATTGCTGGTAATATTGTTTTAAAAATGTATTTCTGGTAATATTTTTTTCAAAAACGTATTCCTGGTAAAATTTTTTTTTCAAAAATGTATTGTTGGTAAAATTTTTCCAAAAATGTATTGCTGGTATTAAAACCTATTTTTTTACTTTCATAGTGTTTTAATCCCTTTTGTGGGATTAAAAATTTGCCCATTGCTGGGGCCATGACAGGTGTTACCACCCCTGGTCCGGGTTGATCTCGGAACACCAGCAATTAAGAGGCGGTTCTAAGCTCCTCAAAACCTCCTTATCAAAGGCCTTGCTGTCGGATGTAGTTTATTGTCTTACCCAGGACGGCGAGACAATGGAGGTTAGATTAAAACAGTAAGTTATATTTGTTTGAAACTTAATATTTTAATTATTTAATTTTTTTTTTGCTTTAGTTTCCAGTGTTGACAAAAATACTTTTTAATATTGCCGGTAATTTTTTTTTTTTTTTTGTAATTTACTTGTAATATTTTAACAGGATTCTGTTGCTGTGTCATATATTTCCGGTCATAGGCAGTCATTACTCTCCACAACTTCCTCTCTTTTATTTAAATTATTTATTTTATTCGAGATGTTATCCTCATCTTCCTTGCCATATTCACAACGTTTCAGCCGTCGTACGCTCCGGCCTTCTTCAAGTGATTGGAATGTCGAACCGAACACTTTACTTCGTCCACCGTCCTCAGCAAGAAACCTACCTAGCTCGATTGTGTTGATTTGTTAGCAGAACGGTGGATAGGGGAGATAGCAAAAAATAATCTAAGTTTACTATGAACTAAAAAAAAAGGAGAGGAAGATGTAGAGGGCATATTCGCCCACGTCCTGAAGGGACACGGTATATAGAGGAAGGATATTCATAAACAAGCGATGGCAGCAGAAAGAGAAAATATTGAAATATAAAATGAAGTACGAGGCAAGAACATCTATTTGTAATGTACACGTTATTCAAGCAATGCAAATATTGAAATAGCGAGCACATTTCAATAAACTTTCTTTATAGGAAAAATGATTGTTTTTGCTCGAACCTGAATCAAGTATAAAAAGTTCAAATTTATTAGGACTCATCACGAATGCAATATTTTTTTGTTCCTTTTTTGGATAACATTTCTTTAAAAGAAAACGTAATGTTTATCTGCTGTGCATGCTATGAATGGGCAATATATGCTACTTTCGTTCGCTACAAATTGGTTACCAACAATGAGATACAAACACGCGGACGCAGAAAAAAATTCCACCTCATTACAATTGCTGAACTGGTGTACGAAAGATCACCTGATGCAGCAATGATTTTTACTGCTTTTTTTTTATTACTATTCTTCATCCACTACAATGCTCAAGAGCTGCTCAAGGTAGAAGGTTACTGAGTGAATCACCGCCCTCTGTGGGATCATGTTCAGATTATAGACAAGGAACACTATTGGAAAATTCTTAAGGAATCAGCACATATGCTAGGCCACAGAAATCTCCTGAGCCGACCAAGCATAGAAATAAATACAATATGGGAACCAGTAATAAGGAGTGCCAGAGAAAAGCAATATGAGCTCTGGTAAAAAAACATGCAATGATAACAGCAAAATTGCAATATGAGCACTGAGGACATTAGGTTTATAATACCCAGAAATTCATACCCAGAGGACCTCAAGGGCACATGGCACTGTGGATAAAGGCGTTGGTTAGATGGTTAGAAGTTACACTCTTTAGATCCAGTGACAGGACCCAAAGAGTGTGAGTTCAATACCCGGTTAAGGCAGGGAAATTAACAGGAGATAACTGATAAATGACATCCATCAAACAGTCTAGAACAGTCTACCCAAGTGAGCGAAATAAAGGGTTAAGTTCGAAATTCCAACCACCTGAAGAAGCGTACAACGGCCGAAACGTTGTGATAAATATGGCGACAAAGATGAGGACAATAGTCCGAATAATGTAAATAATGTACATAATACCTCATCTCAGAAATATAGATAGAGGTTTGAAGCATTGTCTGTTTCACAAACTCGTGGTTACTTGGGAATAAGCTGTTCGAATTGAATTCCCTCCTAACTAATGGAATACAAAGGGAACGAGGATGATTCGACTCTATGGATGTGACGTGGTGGGTTTTAGCTGTAAAAGTGTGAACTAGGGGAACTAGAGAATGTAGGTCGTTAGAACATTTTCCATGGAAATAGCGATCGGGTAGCGACAGGCTTGCGACGTTTCGTCAGTGGGTTGTAGGTTGGTAAATAATTCATCACCGATAAGGCCGAATAAAAAAAAAAATCAACACATATGTCGAATTTTTCTAGCCAAAACTACATGATTCAGAAAGAGAAATACAAATATACTGTGTACAAATATTAATCGTCTGCGACTTTCTTACATGTCCTAGAATTTAATTTCTACTTTGCTGATAGCTTCCTTTATGATGATGGCGATACATTCACCGCCAACGTCCAGGACTAGAAATTTCCTGTTTCATCAAAATTTTCTCCGCTCATCTATTCTCTATCAATTTTTGACTTTGCAAAAGTTAGTTGAAGATGAAAGAACAGTCAGGGAAGAAAGAAATGCCGGTGGCGTGATTTTTTTTTTTAAAGTTGGACCTCAATTTGTCAGGAAGTAACCCAATTGATTTCATGACCTTCCTCTGCGGTACATATGGAGTGAGACATGCAGAATCCAGTTATGAAGCTGCAATGGACTGCCGCTGACTCTGTGATAATTTCGAGTGGCGCCTTCTGTAGCATGTCTGTGATGCGTAGCCCTCTTTATTCACTGATTCAACCGTTGAGATCTGTTGCAATAATCAGCCGTTTATTCCATCGTTGGCGTTTTTGGGGTTGGTCGTGCTTAGGCTAAGTTCGACATATACAGATAGAACTTAAAAAAAAAGAAAAGATTGATGTTATTAGCAATATTGTGTGTGCGTGTGTGTGATTTTGTGTGTGTATGTGTGTGTGCGCACACGTATACATGTATTTGCACGTAATTGTGTACGCGAACCGTGTGTCTTGGTGAAATTAAGTAGTCGGCTTTCCCGGGGTGTAAGATGTCTCCCCGGAAGGGAAGAGTCCTGTGTTGTCGCTACTAAAAACCAAGGGAAAAAAAGAAGAAGAAAAAGCCAGACGTTAAACGAAGTCGTTTGGCAGACAAGGTGTGGTAACCCAACATTACCAAGTATTCGAAACTATTTACCGCCAACGGCATACGGCGTTATTATTTTCTTTTATTCAGAACTTATTATCTATTATGTCATAAATAAGTTTAGTATAATTACTGTTAACTGATGAATATTTGAGAATGTCTATTATCTAAAAAATCATGACATTAATTTACTATCGATATGGTTACTACGCTTGCTAACTCAAAAGGACTAAAAAGGTAACATTAGGGGAGGTGGTAATTAAGGTACCTTGAGATTACCAAATGTACCATGCAAAAGGTCAACTCTTCGTGAAACCAAGAGAAACAACGCTATGATATTTATTAATATAACACGTTATAAAATTAAAATAATTATAATCTCACGGAAACAACAAGAAATGAAAAAAAAAAATTAGTACAGAAAGATGAAAAGATGAGAAAATAATTGGATCAACGATTTATTAAATTTAATGGATTATTTAACGCAATATTCATAAAGTGCTAATGATTTAAGGCCGACTAATAAAATCAGGAACAAGAGAAAATAGTAAAATATACATTTAAATCATTTTTTTATTTAATAACATTAATTTTTCTGCCATATATGACCTGGTGCTCTTGTTATATATTTAGAGATCCTTGATAAAATCCAAAGAAGAATCTGCAATGTTATTGGTCCTGACCTGGCATCTTGGCATCCTCAGTTACTGTCTCACCGTCGTAACTTGGCTTCCCTGTGCCATTTCTATAAATACTTTCATGGTAAATGCTCTGATAAACTCTCCTCTATGCTACCTAGACTTTACGAAAGGTCTCATCATTTTACAGTGGAAATGTACAGTGGGCTCCATATATTTATACCCCAGAGTGATTTTTGCTCTCTCACCAAATAATCATAAACTAAGTGCTCATTATAAACATTATCAATAATAATCATTAATAATCATCAATTTTGTTTTGTGATAATGTTCACCCTGTACAAGGCCTAGGAGCCACTCGAGGTAGAGGGTTACAGAATAAGAGACACTGTTATACAGGGATATGTGAGGAAGATAATGTTTAACCCAAGACTTGTATAAAATGCATTGAACTGAGTCTTCTTAATTATCAAGGCTTTCCTAACAGGTAGGTCCCTGAATGTAGTTGCTAATGGTCAGTCCTCCAA